AAAATAAACTTTACAGTTAAATTATTCTCTTGTATGTTAATACTTATAAATTATTAAGTGATGTTTTTTTTTTTATTAATTCCTGAGAATCTCTTGCAATTCTACAATTATACTACTCTAGTTCTTGAACATTTATTAAAAAATAAAATCATCAACGAAATGCCTGTACTTTTTCTGTAATGATACAACAAATCTCATTGAAAAAGGTGCAAAAAATTATTGAAATCTAAACCAAATATTTGTTTTTGTAGATAATGACATAATTGGAATTTGGGACAAGAATGTAATAACAAACCTAAATTAGTATGTGATTATTCATTCTTATTAAAGACCTAAAAACCAAAATGAAGTTTCCAATGTTTGCATTCAACTTTTAAGAATTAATAAGATCATAAGAATGAAAATTTTTCACATATCTTTGAAAGACAAAAGTAAGTATTTGCTTTTGAAGTGACTAATACTTTTTCAAAATAGTTAATTTAAAATGAAAGTGGTTTAAATATTTTGATTTAGGAACCAATTAAATTCTCCTTTACAAAGTTTTAAAGTTTTAAATTTGTATCTAATATAATAATATGCATTGTTAGTATATGTAACAGGTTATATTATATCCGTAGCAATTCATCTAAAATATCAATTATATAAGCAAATTAATAATTAAAATATAGTAGATCATATGCATAATATATGTAATATTATACCTTAATAATTTTCCAGATGTTGTACTCTAATGCAACTTAATATTTAGAAGTATTTTCCTCCTTATTTCTGGTAGCTGGAAGAATAATTAGTTAAATATTTATTTATATTAACGAATCTTCTCAGTTACAAAAATTATTAAGCTTTACTTGAGATGGATTTGATAAGATGTTATTAAAGAAAATATAACTAGAAATATTTATGATAATAAAACTTTAAAAAGGAAAATAAGGAATTCCAATCTGAATGGGAAAAGATGGATTTATTAGTTGGTGAATTTATTAATAATATTACAATATCAAATACTGAAAGCCAGAATATTTCATTATTAATACCAATTATGATTAGTGAAGTAATTAGATGAGATTCAATTTTTCCATATAATTTGCCATTACTATATTTATATTATAAAAAAAAACAATTGAAATTCTCATAATGTATGATGATAAGTATGATTTCAATTTCTACAAAGTATAACCAATAAATATTATTATTATTTTTTCAAGTTTATTGACAAGAAAAGTATTTACTCTCTTTTCTCAATAAAGTTTTATGGCTGTTTTCATATCTAGGTATTGATGGGAGATTTTCAGGAAAATATCAATTAATATTAATGTATAGAAATATAATTTAACTCTGCCACAAATTTTAGCAAGTTTGTAAAGTTTTCTTTCTTGTATTATACATTATTGATATA